TCGATGTATCCGGAAGGAAGTATCATACAATCAGATATTTGCAGAAAGTGGGCAAATCATAATTATTGCTGCTTCTTGAATATCGTATGTATGCAATTTTTTTTACCAAATACAGAAATACAGTAATAGTACAGTGAAACATGATTGGAATTTAGTAACAGTTGATGGCGTACAAACATTCGAAAATCAATCCTTTTTAAAACTATCTGATTGTAGAATTTACATTTTCTTTTCTTAATTGCATTTAATTAACGTTAACAAATGATGCGAATAGGATTTATCAAAAAAATATTACGGAGAATAGATATTCGCCTTCAACTTGTACTTCTAAATTTGTTAGTCTTTGGATCATTGGCGTATTACATTATAGAAATTGGTTATAATCATCCGGCCGTTTTTAAGCATTCACAATGGTTTAAAGCATCACCATCCAGATTTTTATACAGTTTAGGTTCAAGAGTGTATTTAAGTAATATTATTCGGCTTCCGAAAATACAATATGATTTTCTATTGAATGAAACGGCTGAAGAAGAACAATTAAGGGAATCCCGCCGTGATTCTGTAAAAAACGGATTTCTCCATGCTTGGAATGGATATACGAGGTATGCATGGGGATACGATGAATTGTTGCCGTTAACAAATGTGGGTAGGAATAATTTTAACGGGTGGGGAGCAACTATAATTGATGCATTAGACACAATGTGGATTATGGATTTAAAGGAGGAATTTAATCGCTCAAGGGATTTTGTTCGCACTGTGGACTTTACAAGAAGTGATGATGACATTAACGTGTTTGAAACCACAATTCGTTATCTTGGCGGGTTATTAAGTGCGTATGAATTGTCAAATGATCTCGTATTTCTGGAAAAAGCACAAGAATTAGGCAATGCTTTGTTACCTTCCTTTGATAGTCCCACTGGATTGCCGTATAACTCGTGGAATCTCACATGGTTTGCTTATTTGTCAATAAGGAAAATTTGTTTATATATATCTTGTAGCGAATGCTAACTTTATCGACTGCAGGGGCATAAATAAAAAAAGTCATGAGCTTTCTGGGCCTCCCTGTCTATCAATAAGACATTGTGGTAGTAGGACGGGAATATTAGCTCAAGTTGGAACCATGCAGCTTGAATTTATGAAGCTATCGCAACTGACTGGCGATAGCCAGTTCTTTTTTAAAGTAAGCTATTATCATAAAAACTGCCATCCATTTTCTCGAGCATTTTTAGTTAGATGATTTTCCTTTAATCGTATATTATCAACTCTTCAACGTTTAAAAAGGTTCAAGATGTGATTGAAATTCTTGATCGTGCAGAAAAGTATATTCCTGGACTCTATCCCTTAGAGATCGATCAAGGTTTGAAACATCCAATATTATAACTTTCCGAATACTGAATCGTATCGTCCATTTAATTTACTATTTTTTTTTTTATTCAAAACTTTATAGATTCTGCCGAGTTTATAGGATGTAAGTGTTTACAATTTTTGCTTTATAAATTTAATTTCATATTATCAAGATTTCATCTATCATCAATATATTCTTAGCTCATGTGTCTTTCGGCTCTTTGGGAGACAGTTTTTATGAGGCATGCGTGCATTATCTATTTCTGATTTATTATAATTCGATTAGGTGATTATCACATTTACCAAGCTTATTTAATTTGTGTGAACAGTACTTACTTAAGGTATATGTTTTTGTCGGAGGTGCGCTTGATAAATACCGAAGAATGTGTATGTATCTTATTTATAAAATGAAAACATTTATAATTATCATTTAGTTTATCTCAAGCATTGATTAAATTACGCAGATATTGAATCCATCGAGAGCATGCGTAAATATCTTATTAAAGAAGGCAGAGTTAGAAATCGTTCCGAATTGCTGTTTCTCGGTGATTTATTATATCATGATGATTTTTCGGGAAAAATGGGTCACCTGGTATTTAACGTACTTAATTATGTTACTTAATTATCATTCAGTACTGCTTATAGTATTCCCATAAAATAATTTGATTAAAGCAGAGCATTAATGTATTATTCTTAATACCTATCAACCTAATTTTTGAATGATACCCTGGGTAGAGGTGTGAGTGTAATGCCGTAATTTGTCGTAATTATAATAAATTACGGCATTTTTTGGTTTTTTTTTTTTTTTTTTTTGTTGTAATTCATTATAATTACGACAAATTACGGTATGCGCTCACACTACTAACCCTGGGTATAACATTCGTTGGTTATTGCTTTTATAAAATTGTATCCAAGTACTCGGGTACTAATCAATTTAAAAAAATGAATGTCTTCTTTGAATAAGACCCTAGATAATATAAGCAATACTAAATGGTTTATATCTTTTAATTTGCATGAAAATTTGATCATTTCATCATAATAAATAAGACGTGCTTCGTTCCTGGCATGCTCGCGGTTGGAGCAAAGATTCTTGATCGACCAGAGGACCTTGAAATTGCCATAAGATTAGCAGAAACTTGCTACTGGTCTTATAATGTAACATTAACTGGACTTGGTCCAGAGGAATTTTGGTTTCTTACATCCACTGACGAATTAACTCAAAATGAAATTGATTGGTTAGAAAAACAAGAAAAATTGAATAATCTTCCGAATGGGTTGACTCGAATTTCGCCTACTTATTTGCTGAGGCCAGGTAACATGTTGAATTGTGCCCTGTTTGTTGAAATTCTATTTCATGTTAATAGTTATACGTTTTTAACTTTTTATTAATAGAAACTATTGAGAGTTTATTCATTCTGTATAGGATCACAGGAGACAAACAATATCAAGAAAAAGGATGGATGATATGGCAGGTAACGTTAAATCATGTTAAACGTTATGGTTTTGATTTTGATTTTTTTTTTTTTTTAGTTTTTTGATTTCTTATTCGTCATAGGCCATAGAGAAATGGTGTAAAACGCCAACAGCATATTCAGGACTGAAGGACGTCAACACTGAACAAGTTGAAATGAATAATATTATGGAAAGGTAATTTATTTTTTTCAATTTATATAAAGACTTTATTATGCCATATTTTAAAATTCTAACATCTATGATTAAATTTATGTTTAGCTTCTTTTTTGCAGAAACCTTGAAATATTTATACTTGTTATTCAGTCCACCAGAAATTATATCATTGGATACTTATGTATTTAACACAGAAGCCCATCCTTTACTTAGAATGATAAAACCTTAATAGATTTGATATAATAATTAATTTTGTTATTTTTTCTTGCGAATTATTTAAGCGTTTTATAATAGGACATTTAGTTTACGATAAAAAAAATTTTTAATACTTGTAATATGTAGCATTTAGAATAATTGTCTATAAATAAAATACAATAAAGCCTGTTAAATACACAAGGTTGTTGGGCAGGTTTAGACATATTTATTTATAAAGCGTTATGTACATAATAAATTATTAAAAACAACACCGTCTAATTAAAGTTATAATTCGAGTAATAACAGCCGGGGCGTTAATTTGGATTTGCCTTTTTTAAAAAATTCATAAAAATATTGCCCACACGCGTCTTGAAATAACGCGCCCACTTTGTGTAACTTAAATGCGTTTTTATAATAAATTCTTTCTATAATAAGCAAAAACAAATAAAAATAAAAATATTGTCAAGTGAACTTTTATTAAATTGGAAACTATAGTTTGAGTTTAAAACTTTAATACTAATTTTAGTCGTTATAATATCACCCATGTGCTTTATTCAAATTCTATTATTTTACATTTTTTAGTTTAATTATTTTGAATAAAATCGATATCATAAATATAGAAACAAGATTACGTATTACAGTATATACTTTATTTAGGTCACTGTATTATGTTTTTCTAGTTAAAAAATCATAGCAAACTGTAAAAACTGCAAGTTTTAATTTCTATATTTAGCTATAAAATAAATGCTAAAATCGCTATCAAGTTAAACGATTAGTAAATATATTATCTATTTATATAATTACAGTATAAAATTTTAATAATAATGTGGTTATGTAGAATTTTTTTAATAAGTATATTGTCAATAATTTTTCAAAAAATGGTGCTTATAAAGAGGGTATGATTATATAGAAGGTAACTGTAGAGGAGGATAACTGTACTAGTTAACTAATATTTATTCTAGAATAATATTAAAAAAATTAGTTAGATTGCTAGATAATAGATATAATCTCTTAAGATAAAAATTTTTATTTTTAATGAAAGTTTTATTTTAGAATACAATAAGTGTACAACTAGCCACATGTATAACTTTTGGCCACTTATTTTAAGTAGTCTGCTCTAGATTTTATACTAGCCAAACTTAACCAGAAGATTATTTATTTAAAATTTCTAGTTTGCAGATAAAAGTATAACTAGCCACTTGTATAACTTTTGTTATCTATTTAAGTAGTTTACTCTAGATTTTATATTATACTTGCAATCTAACTAGGAGGTTATCTATTTAAAATTTTAATTCTCAAAAAAAAAACTCTTTTTGATGATTCCTCATACCAAAATTTTTACAAAAAACCAAACTATAAAAACTCTATACATATTGTATTTTATACAAACAAAACTTTATCTAGCTGCTGTTGGGTACAAAGTCTATTCACTAAGTGTTCTGTTTACTAAAATGGAGTTGAAAAAGATTAATAGCAGATAGTTAAGCGAAGCACCTTGGCGGGCTATAGTATTACCAAGCAAAGAAGTAATAGAGCAACTCTGGAGCTTTGTCAAGCACTATAGATATAAAAATAGAAGTAGCTGCTTGATAAAATACAATATTTTATATAGCATAACTCTTACACTCACTACTTTTGGTATACTTTTGCTTATTTCTTTGGCCTATATCACCCACCCATCTTGGCAACAAAATTTTTTTAAAAAAGTAGGCAAAACAGTTTACCCCCATCAAAGGATCAGCATTGTTTACATTCCCAAATTCAGATGATGCAGTAGACAGTTTGGCCTAAACAAGCATAGAGCTACTATTTTGGGTCGACCCAGGTTACAGACTAGGTTTGGATCAGCTAGAAATTTCTGAAGTTGGTTGACCAAGATAGAAAAATTTTAATAGTAAAGCAAAGCTTTACAATAGATATACAAACGTTGCTTTTTAAGTAGTATATAATTTTTTCTTAAACCTTGGTACAGGTTATAATAGTACTGTCTTGGTTGTTGTATTTCTCTTTTTTTATGCTTTTTTTATCTTCTTCTATTTATAATTAAATAGCATTTAGGTTTTATTTCTCTTGTTTATTTTCTTTTTCCTTTTCTGTTTTTTTTCTTTTTTCTTATTTTCTTCTTTCCTAAATTTGTTTTGTTTCTTTTATAAATATGGCAATTGGTTTGATTTTTTGCATAGAAGTAGAAAATGAACTCTTCTGCCTGGATCTAGATGGAGAAGTTGTAAGAAAGGAGAAATAGGCAATCTTGACAAGCTAACAACAAGCTTTTGTTAATCTTGCAGTCAAGCTCTAGTGAGTTAGAGCCCTGTAAGGGAGAGAGCATGTTGTTAAGGCAGATCGCACTTAGGTGCCTTTGGCAACCGAGTGAGTTTTTATTGTATAAGAGGTGGTAATAACTAGAAGTAATTTTAGTATACAAATACATACACCAATGTAATATCTCTCGAATAATAAAGACAAGATTGCCGAAATTTAAAAAAAAAAAAGAAAAAAAAAATAAACTTTTAATTCTATAAAATAAAACTTTTATCTCTTTTTCTATTTTTAATTATCTTAAAAATAGGTCTAAGATTTCGAATATATACTAGAACTAGTGATCTAATCCAATAAATTGTATATTCGAATATTCACTAAATATTTGAATACTCGAATAAGATTTTTTTCACCAAATTCAATATTTGAATATTTAATTTATTTACCAAATAATTCATTGAATATTTATTGAATATATATATATATATATATAATAAAAATTATCTAATTAATTAACTATAAAATTATTTATTAATATATATAAAATTTTTATAAATTAAAATATAAATTTATAATATTTCTTAATATATTTATTTTTAATAATTAGTAAGGTTTTGCAACCTGGGCACATGCCTGTATCCAAAAAAATTTAGGCTAAGATATAGACATGAATACTTAGAAAAACTTAGGTATTAACATAGACATGGCTTTAAAATTTTGGTATAGACATAATAGGTATAGATACAAATATTTGGTATAGGCATGAGCACAGATACAGAAATTTGATATTTATTATTTAATTAGGCTAGGCACTTGTGCCTAGCACCACTCTGGCATCTTGTACTCAGTATTTTGTGTCTATGCTTTTACTAGTATCTGGCACTTTTGTATCTATATCTTTAATATGTTTAGTATTTTATACTCTTTTATATCTATAGATATAGGCATAGCATAAGGTACTAGTACCTGGTCTGGTTCCAATATGCCAGGCACAGGCATTTGCAAAACTCTAATAATTAGTATTAAAATAAATTGTATTTTTAAATAATTAAAATTGTTTTAATTTTATATATTTACTATTGGCTAGTTTTTTAATATATTAATAAAGTATAAAGTTGTTTTATAGTGTATATAATATTTAAAAAATATTCAATAAATATTTAAATATTTATTCAAAATTTTTTAATAAATATTTAAATATTAATAGTATTAAACAAATAAATATATCATTTATTTTGAAAACTTTTCCTGACAATCACTCGTACAAAAATTTTTTCTAAAAACTAACTTTACAAAATCTTACTTTTTGAAATAATTTATTTAAACAATCTAATTTTTTGCTCTAACAAAACTTTTTCTACACATAAAATTATATATAATATCTAAATTTTAAAGAAATAGCTCTTAAACATTTTAAATAATAGTCTTCCAAGCTAAAAAAATTTCTTTTGCTGTTTATACAAAACCCAGACTCAAAACCTTTTCTTAAAGCATATAACAAGTTGTTTTACAAATTTTTCTCTTCAAAACAAGCTATAATAGACCTCTGTAGCTTCAATATTAACCAAGTTATAAGTAAAACAATTTTTAACTCTATCTACTTTTTCTCCTCTCTTCTACTTGGGGAATTTTTCCCTTTCTCAACAATTAGAGATATTTTCTGTACAACCAAAGCCACTCCAGCTGTGCTACCCACGTTCTACTACACTATAAAATTAGTGGTGCTTGCCAAATTATACCAGAATTACAAATTTTTAATTAAAATTACACAATTTTTAATATCTGCTTTTTTTGTAACCTTTTATTTATACAATAAGTTTCCTTTTTTGGGCTATGTAACATGTGATCTGTTTCGTGACTCATGTAATACAAAACTATAAAATCCTGTTTTTAGGTCATGTGACCTTGTGTAATCTAAAATATAGGCCCTATTTTATTTACCCCTAAACAATCCATTTTAAATAACTCTATTTTATTCTTATATCCTTTTTTCAACTTAGGAAAAATTTACAAAAATACTTATTTCTATTACAAATTCTTTTTAATAAATAGTTCAAATGCCTACTCTAAGTAGCAAGTAACTAGATACTATCAATCTTGATACTTTCTTTTCTCAATACCCAAACTGTTATGGAATCTAGATCTATGAAGACAACTCTAATAATCCCAAACCAACTAATAAAAATTTTATTTCTAAAACCTGCATAACTCAACTTCACTCTACTAGAAAAGCTACTCACTTCTTTAAAGCTCCTTCATCTATGGCTACTATAACTTGCTTGCACAAAAAAAATTTCACACTCACTTTACTTTTATTATCTAACAACTTACTATCTCTTCAATAAAATCTACTTCTTCTATTAGTCTTTCTATTCAACAACTTTCATTTCAAATTCAACAACTTATCTCTCTTAATACTACCCAATACCAACATGCTTGCTTCAAATGCCAATAGCCTATTTTATACACCTTTTCTCCTAACAAATAACTTCACACTTTAGATACTATTGCTATTTTTTTTGATAGCAATGTTATTCATAAAGCATGCTATCTTATTGCTAATAACACTATTCAAACTACACTAATCCAATTTACCTCAACTATTTATGCTAAACCTCTTACCTCCTTTAATACTTCAATTTCCTCTAACCCTCAAACACAAACCTATACTAGCTTTACTCCCTCTTCTCAACTCTTCATCTCTACAAACTTACCTTCTAATTCTTATCTACCTACTGTTCCTTACCAATCTTTACAATCTTTTAATCAATCCTCTATTTAACCTTTTACTTTTTCTTAACACCAACATTTGCTCTTGTTTCCTTCCCAGCCAATTCTATCTAGCAAACCTAATATTCTTAATTGCCTTATCTCTTCTGTTACTTTTATTGTATCTGAATTTACTCCTAGCTCACTTTTATTTAGCTCACCTACTTTCTATAACAACACCTCTAAACCTAACACTAATACTGATCCAACTCATTATACTAATACTAATCCTCTAATTACTACTAACTCTACTATCTCTTTTTCTCCAGGCTCTTTTGAACCATTTGATAATGATACATCTAAACTTTTTGCTACTATGATAGATGTCAATATATCTACTAAACCTATTCAATTACCTACTTCTAATTATTCACTTATCCAACATACCTTACCTTTTATTTCTCACTCTTTCTAATCTCTAGCTTACCAATCTTTGAATATATATCTTGACACTATAACTTCAACCAAGATCTAGACATAACAAATCGAAAACACACCTATACAACAACTAGTCTCCTACATCCTTTCTACTTTATCAACACAAACCTTGTACACAGCTTTTCCTATATCTACCTCTCAACCTACTTACTCTTCTATTACTCAAAAAACTAGCAAACTACTAAACTCAACCTCTAATTTTCAAGTTCAAACCCAAACCCAAACTCAAACCCTTTCTACTTCTTGGTTCTTCAAAATAAACTACTCCAAACCAACTCTATTTCTAATAAGCAACCTCAAACCAATCCTAAACAAAATCACTTATTTGACTAGCTTTATAACTTTCCTATATTAGATAATATAAAACCTTATACCAAACTCCAAACTAATTTTTCTTTCTAACTTTTTACTTTTTTCAAATAGTATTTTCATAATTTTTACCCAGGCAGCATTCTTAAAGCTGCTATATCTAATAACTCT